GTTAGCCAGGATGGTCTCGATCTCCTGACCTCGTGATCCGCCTGTCTCGGCCTCCCAAAGTGCTGGGATTACAGGCTTGAGCCACCGCGCCCGGCCAACCATATTCTTTCTCTAGGTTCTAGGAGAGAATCTATTTCCTTGTCTTTTCCAACTTCTAGAAGCTGCCTGCATTCTTTTGCTTATGGCCCCTTCCTCTGTCTTCAAAGCACATCCTGCCTTTGTTGTCATGATTTCCTCTCTGACTCTGACCCTTCTGCCTTCCTCTTTTAAGGACCCTTGTTGGGCCTGTTCAGTAGTCCGGGATAATCTTTCCATCTCAAGATTCTTTTTTTTTTTTTTTTTTTTCTTTTTTTTGAGATCAAGTCTCAGTCTGCCACCCAGGCTGGAGTGCAGTGGCGTGATCTTGGCTCACTGCAACTTCTGTCTCCCAGGTTCAAGTGATTCTCCTGCCTCAGCCTCCCAAGTACCTGGGACTACAGGCACGCACCATCATGCCTGGCTAATTTTTGTATTTTTAGTAGAGACTGGGTTTCACTATGTTGTCCAGGCTGATCTCAAACTCCTGACCTCAAGTGATCTGCCCGCCTCGGTCTCCCAAAGTGCTGGGATTACAGGCATGAGCCACGATGCCCAGCCTCCATCACAAGATTCTTAGTTGAAGCATATCTGCTGCAGAGCCTCTTTTGCCATGTAAGATATATTCACAGGTTCTGGGGATTAGGATTTGAACATCTTGGATCATTATTCTACCACTTCATCTTATTGGCATCATTCGTGAATTTCTTTTTCCTCTCAATCCTTTGACATACTGTATACATTTTATACATTATTGAAATCAGCCTTTTATTTGGAACTTTTGCGTCAGTAACCACAAATGATAATACTCTTCTTTTGGCCTGTCTTTATTTCTTTTCTTTTCTTTTTCTTTTTCTTTTTTTCTTTTTTTTTTGAGACAGTCTCGTTCTGTTGCCCAGGCTGGAATGCAGTGGCGCAATCTTGGCTCACTGCAACCTCTGCCTCTGGGTTCAAGTGATCCTCCAGCCTCAGCCTCCCCAGTAGCTGGAAATACAGGTGTGCACCACCACACCCAGCTAATTTTTGTAGAAAGGGGGTTTTGCCATGTTGTCCAGGCTGGTCTGAAACTCCGAGCCTCAAGTGATCCTCCCACCTCAGTCTCCCAAACTGCTGAGATTACAGGCATGAGCCACCATGCCCAGCCATGTCTTTAATAAATTTTATGCCACTTAGACAAAAATTCATTGGATAGCATATGTAAATTAGATATAAATAGAATAGTATTAGTTCAAAAATTAGCTAAAATTCAGCTACAACCACCTAGGTATGGTACCTTTTCAATTGTACATACTTTAAAGTATCTTAAACACTGTTCAGATTTTCTACTTCTTAGTAGAAATCAGTGATTTAAATTTCATTAGAAAATCTACAATTTCCTTTACCATGGTTATAGAGTTGTACATAACAGCCTCAAAATTCTTTTAAACTCGGGACCGGGCACGGTGGCTCACTCCTGTAATCCCAGCACTTTGGGAGGCCGAGGGGGGCAGATCACCTGAGGTCGAGAGTTTGAGACCAGCCTGGCCAACATGATGAAACCTCGTCTCTACTAAAAATACAAAAATCAGTCAGTTGTGGTGGCAGGCACCTGTAATCCCAGTTACTTGGGAGGCTGAAGCAGGAGAATCACTTGAACCTGGGAGGCAGAGGTTGCAGTGAGC